TGTAATGCTCGAGGTTAGAATTCGATCTACATTCTCGATAGCGACGTAAATGATAGTATTTACTCTTTTTCAGTTCAAAACATTCGTCATCAAACCATTTAGGTTGATGCTTAAGAACCGTCCGTTTTGTTTCAGTCACGCATACTTTAGATTTGTTAAAAATATCCATTATGGAATCTAGTACAGAATCTATATCATTTGAGAAATCTTTAATATAACAAATCATGTTATGTAACTTTGCATTATTTAAAGTGTAAGTTAAAGTTTGTCTCAGATCTGCTACAGTCTTATCACTAAAATTATAAACGACACGTTCTTTATTCTTATTATTTCCGGATAGTATATTTGAGAACATAACAGTACTAGAAAGATTTACTTCAATTGATAAATGACTCGATTCAGTTCTGTCCCCAACTTTAAAATCTGACATAAGATTAAATATAGATTCTGATGCAACTAAATAGTCGATTACGCTGCTGCCATTACTGCTAATGAAAGTTTCATGACCTACTCCACAATCTTGACCACAGCGTCCATTTGCTATATATAAAGAATATGTTTTACAAAAATCTAATAACTGAACGCCAAACCTATTAATGACTGAGTCACACGAATGTCGCGTCGGTAAAGAATTTGACAAAATGTTATCATAGTCCGATAATATGGGGATGTTTGAAGTATTTTCAATATAACCTTTATGGTTACTAGTTCGTGCATTTAAATCGCCTAGTATGATATAATCAACCTCGGAAAAATTTACATCGAGTTCAAATAGGTAATGTTCTAACAGTTCTAAACCATTAAATGATTCGTACATATATGCCGGAGAATTTTCCGGGGGTAAATATACAATGCATAAAATAATATCTCGATTTGCATTAAACAATTGCTTACATATTCTCAAGGAAATACAAAATTTACAATTTGACTGTAATCGTGATATATAACCATTAATAGATTTATGTATATAGACAGCAATACCTGCCATACCTCTTCCTTGAGTATTATACTTAAAGGCATTATTGTAATAACAAATATAGTCAGTCAATATATCAACATAATCATCGAAACACAATTCCCAGGTTTCTAATAAACATATAATGGTAAATGTTCTAAAATAGTCTATGATATCCTGATATGAAAATTTATGTTTTACACCTTCAATGTTCAAAGATGTTATTCTCAAAACTTTACGATTGTCAACTTGGCCTAACCCCTATTGATGTTCCATTTCTTGACCATAGGATGCTGGATACACTGTTGGTTTCACGGCACGGTGCGCCTGTCTATAAACCCTGTTTATTTGTCCTCCGTATTATGATTATCCTCCCGCACGCACAGTTTAAAGCTTTTTGAGCATTTGCCTTTGTTTGTATGTCAAATCATCACCGACACGAATTGAATATTTTCGAAGTAGATCACGACCTTTAAACACTTGATACTTGTCATCATCATGTCTAAAAGTAATGATAATAAGGGAAGAAATACTAGTATCAGAACCTGGAATTATGCGAATGTTTTTTTTATGTCATCTGGTTTCCATTTAATTGTCGGGCAAGCGATGTTCAATACTTTATCAATTACCAATTTAACTAAATCTGGATAAGTTGAGTCATTTCCGACGGATAGACCAAATACCCTCATATTATTTGAGATACTCTTTACGTTTAACTGTTCAACCTCTTCGTTCAATATTGATACGGTGTCATTGTACCTGCCTACAATATTATATGATGGTCCGTGTCTAGACGTAAATTTTCTGTGATTTCATTCAAAACATCGACCTTTTGACTAGTAGACTTAAGGGCTTCCTCATAACTAGCTTGTTTTATCCCAATATCCTTAACTTCAGACCTTAATTTGATATGGTCATTTCTTATGGAGGATATGTCATTCTTGATATCTGATATATCTGTCTTAACCGACATGATTTGCGTTAAAACTTTATTTTCTGACTGTTTAATAGCATCCAGTATAGTTTCAAAATCAACAGGTCCAAAATTTAGTTCGACATCCGACGCCAAAAACAGCTTAAGTCTGGCTATGTTATAGGTTATGTTAAACGGATTGTAGTGGTCGCTTGTACTTACGCATGTGACACTGGAAGGGTACATCAAACTTATCATTTGACACTCTTCACGATATACGATATCAAGTGATTTCATCCAGGCATTTACAACTAAAATGCTTTGAACGCATAATAGCATGAACATGATGACGAGACATGGAGCTAATACTCTAAGGTGAATATCCGACTTTGAAGAATAAAGTTTGTATTTACTTTTGTAGTGTTTCTTCGAAGGCCGTTTTCGTGTGGGTATGAATAAACCAATGCGATATCTGTATGTTTCTACGTCAACACCCATAATGTGTGTTGCTTAAATTTTTGTTATACGTAATGTCCTTTACTCGCTTCCGTAGATTTATAAATGCAGCGGGGGTGTACTATATATGTGTATACATCGACTTTACACTTGGTTGAACACTCAGACCACTGGACGATGGTTAGTAATGGCCGCCAAATGTTAGATAATAACACAAAAGTTTATGCCTACATTTCATCAATATCATATAATCTCAAAATACGACCTTTCCACAATTCAAAAGTTAATATATTCCAATATATTTCCAAACACAAATATTCCTATTCACATGTCCGGGAACGACAAAAAAAATCATTTAAACTCAGCCATGTAAAACATGTCCTACTACGTGTATCCACTATTATATAACTAATGGCGCATGTAATGATTACAAGTACGATTTAATGTAATCGACTTTAAAAAAGTAATCGAATACAGTCGATTACATGGACACATTGTAATTTATTGTAATCGATTTCGATTACACGTTTACAATTATCCCATGTGCTACACATACTTTACATCTTAAAGCAGAGGTTGAGTTCAAATTTGGCTTTAAACAATTGTTTTTGCGTTTCCTTTTTTCTATATATTAATAAAGCTATTAAGAATGAAATAATAAATGACAACGTTTAATTCAAATTCATTTTAATAATGAATAAAAATTAGAAAATATATTACAATGATTTTTTTCGCATTTCTTTTTTCTTTTATGAAATTCTTTGGAACGGGTAAGAATATTTCTGTTTTCAATTAAAGTTGCAGACATCATTAAAGCAATGTCATTTCTACAAAAGTCATGTCAATGCTTTTAACTGACAATATATCAATTATTAGAATGTGAACAACTAAGTAATGATAAAATAAATGTTAAGGTTTGTTTTTTCTGTAACTCAAAGATTCAAAGGTTTTGTGGATGTTGATATAATGTCCAGATGTTCAAATATAAAAATTCTGCGGATGTTTCAATTTTTTAAAAAAAATACACCATTACAAGTTTAAATATTGAATAAGGCTCAAGTCGTTGCTCGCAGATGTAGACAGTAGCTTGCACTGTTCAGTACTTTCTGTTCATTGAAACCGAGCCTGCAACATTTTCAAATTTTTTGGGCGTTCTTTAGGGATTCCTCATTGTTTGTATAATATAACCTAACTCAAACAAAATGGTGTCAGAAAAAGAAAATTAAATCTTAATTTCAATTTTCTCGTTCCTTTTTGCCAACATTTTCTGACATTACAGCACATGTACAGATGTGTAAAAACTCAGTTTTAAATATCACTAAAGAAAGAATAAATAAGTCAATGTACAAAAAAGTCAGTTTAAACCAAACGTATATCTACACGGGCAACAATTCTGTGTAGAAGTATATTTGCATAATATTTGTATTGGACATCTTTTACATAATTTTGTACCAGAACATATGTACAATAACCTACTGATTTTAATTCTGAACAGTAACTACGTTGTGTGGACCGTCGTTGTATAATGTGAAGCTCCCATTAATGACATGTATTTGATGTTCGGCCTAAATACAGAAATAACTGTATTGATTATTACTTGTTTTTGTTTGCATACGTCGCTTTCTTATTTATAACGAAATGCTGTTATTCCATTTTGTTGAATATTGATGTGTTTGCTTGCTCAAAGGTTTACGCATTTGTAAATATATTTTTCATTTCAAGAGGTAAGTTCTTTCTATATTAGATACTTCAAGAACATTTTAAAGAGGAATTTTCAGTTAAGATATTAAGATCAAGAACAAAATCTGCATTGAGGTCAAGTAAATAGGAATTTAGTTCAAGTAAATTTAGTTTGGTTTGTCTTGTCTTTCACTTTACATGTATAATAATCTCTGCCGATAAAGATCAATGTGAAAAAGGTATGATAGTATGTTATTTTAAATATATATGTCTTTTTCCTTATTATCTAGCAAGATAAGAAACAAATACAAAATGTAAAATATTTGCACAAAGTAAAAATACTTTTAAAGAAAATATGAATATTACAAAGTTTTCATGTAAATGCTTTAAGATAAATGCAAATCGGTTTTAGTTCGTTGCATTAGCCCATGAATACAGAACTAATTGTGTATGGTTTGCTTAACAATATAAATGTTATTATAGCGCTGCACGGATTCTTCTACATAAAATATATATCTAAATATATAAGAAATTATATAAGAGTTGGTGTAACGCAATAAATACATGAAAAGGTTTAGTTATTACAATTTAACATGTTAAAATTATATAGGTCTGTAATTTATCACTCATGTTATATTTATAACAAATTATCATATGACATTTTATAAAACATTAAACAAATGACGATAACCAAGTCAGAGGTCTCTAGTAGATTTACGAAGATCACCTAATGCTTCAATTTGTTTGAGACAGACAATTGTGCGATTTATAGACAAAAGTATTTTATGCTACAAAATACTTTACATACATATAGAACCTCTAAGTTGTCATTTCGAATAAGCTCTATAACTAAGAATAAAGTGTTTCACTGAAAAATTGACCAAATAGTTGAATTGAATTCCTTGAAGGAAAAATATCATCAAAATTTGAACAATATTGATATGACGATAACCTTTTGGAAGTAAAGCTTGAATAAAAGAAGGGATCCTTTTCAGAAATAACGAATTTCATCATCGTCTAAGCCAAATGATAACTGTTAGCACCTGTTGCAAGCGACATCTATGGCACAAAACGATATTGCCTATTGATATATTATCACAATGACAAAAATATCAAATTTTTACATTCATTTCTTAATTTTTTTGTTGCTTCTCTATATTTTGTTTATTTTTATGTTGTTATTCATATTGAAAAGAATGTGCCAAACATTGGAAGATAAATTTAAGATCATGTTGTTTTACAGTTTACTGCAACTTCTTGTGCAATCTATGACATTTCTTGGATGTTATTTATGTGTTTGCAGTAGTTACAGAAATGATGTTAGAATTACAAAGTTACACGCAACCAGGTAAATATTTCTTTGCACAATTTGTATACTTTTCAATCCATCCATCCATCCAAACAAGTGTATGTGTATGGAAGTTTCTATCGCAGATATCAAGAATCAAACAGTTCTTCTGCGATGCCGAATTGGACACACTAAAATTACCCACTCTTATCTCCTCACAAATGACAATGCCCCTTTCTGTGTAGGTTGTAATGAAAATTTTACTGTCAAGCATTTTCTTCTTGAATGTCATGATTTTTCACAGGCCCGTAATAGATTTTATTCTGTAAATTCACTCAAAGAACTTTTTAATACAATTCCACCAAAGAACATAATTGATTATTTAAAAGAGATAAATTTGTATTCTAGGATCTAATTTGCTCATTTCTATTGTCATTAACAATGTTTAACATGATATTTTAAGCCTATTATAGCATTCGGCACGATATGGCCAGTTATGTGTTGACGTGCCGTAAAATCCAAACAAACGAAAACAAAATAAATACCTTATTGGACTGATTAGATTTATTATAATAGACAAATAAATAAATGAGTTTGATAAATGTGTTCACGTTAATCATTAAAGTCCGTCAAAGGATTCAGGCTAGCTTTGGAGTATTGTTACAGGTAACAAAATAAATTTATTTGTCACGGAATAACACTTATTAGATTGATTTATGAATAAATTACAACATAATAAATTAGAAATACATAGTGGTAGAATTTAGACTAAAGCGTACGCCGCATAGTAAAATGATTTCCATAATGTTATATTTTATCCAGAAACACAAGTTAACGATGTACTTCAATCTTCATCGTCATGGTCAGAAGCTGATTGGAGAGCTTCGTCTTCCGCGACAAGAGAGCCATGGACATTGTTGTATTTCAAGTCAGACAATAACACTGTTGATGTCTACAAGAATAAAATCGGATCATTTGTATTTCTTTGGCCCATACCTGTGACGTTTGCTCTGGTTGCATTGCTGTATTGCTCGATACGACTTTGCTTAAAGCCCTTTAAACTGCCGCGTAAGTACATGTTTCACATCTTACCATTGTAATAAGAACGTTAACAGTCTCGCTGAAGTAGGAAGCATATGGAAGTGTGTATACTTTTTCTGATTATGTTTTTTTATACGTTAGGAATTGTTTTGCAAGATTTTTGTATAACTGGATTTCAAAGTACCTACATATAATCTATCCTTTTCTTAATTCTAACGGGGTTCTGTTGTCAGTACACCAGTTGATTTATGACTTTTTGACTTCAAATTTTATGATTTAAGGCTATTGGATGTAAAATTTAACAAGAGCTGTCGGTAGGACAGCACGCTCGACTATTCTTAGTGCTTGATAGTAAAGGAGCCTTGATAATGTTAAATTTTTTAAGTTCACAAAAGGGCTAATTTTTTTTTATAAATTCATGTTATAGGCCTTAGAGAGAGTCTAATTATACAGTATTGGCTTGACTTTTCGGAAGGTAATGTCACAAGGGTGTTTTATTGAGTATAATAATACTAATTACCTATGAATACACAAATTTGACAGAAAAGGTACAAAGGCTTGTTATTAAGATGATTTATCAAGTAAATCACTGATTTATTATTATGAATGCATAAAAATGTCCCCAAAAAGGCACAAACCCTTCAGTAGTTATTGAGATAACAGCTTACAAGCAAAACCCTACCATGAATTTCTATGTTGAAAAAGGGGAGAAAAATCAGCCTAAATGCAAGATAGAATTATGGATCTTTGTCAGTGACCTACAATTATGACCCTAAATGCATATGTGAAGTTTTAAATAAATATCTTTAATAGTTATTGAGATATGTAAAACTTGCATGTAAACATTAACCAAGAGACTTAGTGGAAAAGGGGATATGAATCAGCCTTTGTGCAAGATAGAGTTATGGAACTTGGTCAGTGACATACAATAATGACCCTCCAATTATGACCCTAAGTGCATGTGTAAAGTTTCAAGTAAATATCTTTGAAGACCTTTAACTTTTAACCAAAATTTCTAAGTTTTAAAGGGGCAAATAATTCTGCAAATATTGCAGACAGAGTTATGCAATTTTGCAAACTGATGTACATTGTTACTATAAAAAAGTATTTTAAATTTCAATTGAATATCTCAAGCAATAATTGAGATATTTGACTTTACAAAAAAACTTAAACCTAAATTTCCAAGTTCCAAAGGGGCATAATTCTGTCAATATTGTAGGCAGAGTTATCCAACTTGTCAATCTGATGTACCTGGATACTATTAATAAGTATTGTAAGTTTCAATTGAATATTTCAAGCAATAATTGAGATATTTGACTTAACAAAAACTTTAACCAAAATTTCTAAGTTAAAAGGGGCATAATTCTGTCAATATTGTAGGCAGAGTTATCCAACTTGTCAATCTGATGTACCTTGTTACTATAAATAAGTATTGTAAGTTTCAATTGAATATCTCAAGTAATAATTGAGATATTTGACTTTACAAAAAACTTTAACCAAAATTTCTAAGTTAAAAAGGGGCATAATTCTGTCAATATTGCAGGCAGAGTTATCCAACTTGTCAATCTGATGTACCATGTTACTATAAATAAGTATTGTAAGTTTCAATTGAATATCTCAAGTAATAATTGAGATATTTGACTTAACAAAAAACGTTTACCAACGCAGACGCCGACGCCGACGCCGGGGCGACTACAATAGCTCTCATATTCTTCGAATAGTTGAGCTAATAAAAAATCGTCTTATAGTAATAAATTATAAGTCTATTATATTTTAAAAAAACTTATTTTAAAAAAACTTTAAAAAAGAAGGATTGTCATATTATTAAGTCTTGCATAATACGTATGCACGTAGGTATGCATTCAAAGAGAATAAAGCATTTACGTTACGTGAGCATGCAGCATTGTTGCACTTTCTTTCCAGATTTTAATAAGTATGCTGAGTCTTGGTGCCACGTATAGTAGCTCACTGCAAAAAATGATAGCTCCGGTAATTTATCATAAAACAAAAGCACCGCTAAGACGGGACAGTATACACCCCAATGAAAATTTGTAGGATGGATCTAAAATAATTTTGATTAGGGAAGAAACCAATTCGTGAAACTCTCATCACGAAAACCATTAACGAAACAACTTTCATCTTAATTATTCTTATAATACTAAATGGCCACAAGAGGAGGAACATTGTTTGCCCTTTGTTCATGGTTCTTTTGCATAGATCTAACAGGCATGGTTCATGCCAAATATATAAGGTTTAGGCATAATATTTGTCCACAAAAAGAATATATGTATATTTTTATATATTCGTCTAAAGCTTATAACCTGGAGTTTATGACCAAATGCAGAATGACCTAATATATATATATACTTTTAAGATATATCTTTTCTGAAATAACATCAGAAAACACCCTGATAAATCCCTGACCGAGCTTCAAATTTATCCTTTTGTGTTTTTTTTTTTTTTGATTTTGCAGATGGTTATGCACAAAAAGTACATTTACACATTAAAGTGACATTATGCTCATATTTTCAAAGTGAAGTTGTGCTGAATAGACTCTATACTTCCAAAGATTGACTGTCAAAATGGTGTTTGACCAACAGTTTAGGATAAAATGTTTAGGATAAAATTATAAATCTGCCTAAAATTTAAAAAGGCTGTCCCACTCTTTTTATTAACTAAGCGTTATACGTTAATTCTAACGGACATTTACAGAAATTTCATTCGGATCTGTATGTTATTTATTGTTTATGCAATCTTAATTATTAAATTAAAAGGATTATGGCAAAATGAAAACATATTTTGATCTTCACCCGTTCACTGACTATATACCCTTGGATTTGATTAATGTCACTTTAATAATATGTGCTAGAAAAATCATGTTTTAATTATTGTTTAAAAGTGTCAGAAGAAAACAACAACATTAAACACATTAAAATCTGATTCATAAGTGATCAATGCTTTTTGGACATTTGTTTATATTTTTATATATGTTCACATTTAAATAGACTTATAATTGCATATCTATTAGTCGCTTTACAATTTTTTAGGTGCAACGAAACCAAAGAAAAAGCTATCGATAGAACTTCTCGACAACCCCTACCAAAATGCACCAAATCTAAACCATCAAGGATCGGATGATTCTGAATTCATTTTTTGCGATATCTCACCAGAAGACCCGTGGTCACCTCCGTATCACAATGATTCAACAGTAATAGATCAATCATTTTATGGTGACAAGCAGCATATTATCATTATTCTAAATGAACTGAATTCGAATCATTGAAGGTATAAAGGAAACTTGGTATAAAAATCTGAATAGTGTGATCCCTTGGAAGCATTAATCACAACAAATTCACATGAAAATTGCAGACTCATTTTGATTGCAGCTGTACATTAGGGAACAATTGTTTCTTTAAACATACCTAAACAAATATTTTCAAAAGACGTCTTTAAAGATAAGTAAATTGTCCAGGATTTATTATTGAAACAGAAATAGCATGGTGACAGTAAATATTCAGGATTTAAAATGATTGATAAGGACAAGCAAGTGATAATAAGACATATTGGCCAATTGTAAAATAATTTTGAATGTTTTCAAACTTTATAAAATAATGTTTTTAAATACAATAGTCAATGAAAAAATTGCCCTTTTCATTTCATGTCAGTACAAACATGAAATTATTTGCATTTTCCGCTTTCATTGCAACGATGGTAAATAATGCCAGCCGAGTGAGAAGTGTCGCAGTATCACTTCAATTGACGCTTCGACCTTGCAGATTTTATATTAAATATGATATTGCTTAAATAAGAGTCAATAACTTTTTATTAGTTCTGGTCTAGTGTATAAACAAGAGAAATTTTGATTTATTAGAGAACGCTTAAAACGCCATAATTGAAAAATGTACAGGTCCAGTTTGATAAGGTCTGTTCATGTAGAGTGATAGTGTGCTGGCCAACCCCCAAACACCGGCTTCGTAAGATAGAGAAGTCTTTAAATGTGAAAAACGTGCAGGTGTGTTTATCAGCGGTTATTATAGAACGGTCAAGAATGAGTGTGTCCTTGTAGAACCGACAATGTGACATGTTTTTGTTTCATTTTATAAAAAACAACGTTTGGTCCTGAAGTTAAATAATAAGTGTGTTGTGAACGAGAACGCAATAACCGAAAAAAGTTTGGAAGGTGATATGAGGTTATCCAAACTAAAACTTAAAACAATTGTTTACTATAAAACCCCAAAGTTGCAACATTTTATTATTGCCGTTCTTGGCGTTATTCAAGGATTCTGTTTTTCTCTATTTTGCCAGTCATTTTTATCTTATAAACTATTGAAATTATTTAAATAATTATTTTTATCACAGCTAACTATATTTGGAGGACTTTTTTTTATCATATCTTACATATTTTTGCAAAAGAGTCTGTAATATTTTCAAAACTTGTCTTTCATACATGTCATATCCATAATTACAGTACAATGTCGGTCCAAATGAAAACATGGAAAGACAGAAATCTTTTATTAGAGGGAGAAGGGATTTGGGCACCCCATCGTACCCTAAAGACCAATATGTACCTTATTTGAATGATTTTTGGCATCAAAATAGATAATTACTTGCATCCAACAAAGGAAAACAAACATTTACACAAATTTACCATATGATGATAAAAGTTCATATCATAATACACATCTTTTGCATAATGAATCACATAGATCTACGTCAAAGCATAAAGCTAAAAAGCCTGATAAATGTGATGGTCAATCAATTGAATAGCGGGACTATATTGTACATTTTGGAAATTTTGCAAAATGGAACAAATGGGATGAAATTGAAAAGGCCCAATAATTGCTTATGAGTCTAAGAGGTCCTGCTCAAAAGCTACTCAGCGACCTAAACCCAATATCTATAAACAGTGTTGAGTCGCAGAAAAACAGCATATGGCTGTGAATTTAGAAACTGAAGGTGGCAAAATTCAGAAACTGCCTCTGTTTTCGGAAAAGCACTACAGAATTTATTCGTGAAAAGAATTTCCGTCAGTGCAAGCAGAGACTAGTGATCTATTTTATAGACCAGTTTAGAAATGGTTTAATCAAGCCCTAGTCATGTTCAATACAAACATTTCTCAACCGTAGACGAAGCTATTACCTTAGATTACCTTAATAGTAAAACTTGAAGCCTTCGAAAAATCACAGGGTATTCTCAGAAAAAACAAGACTTAAAAACTGAACATCATACAAGCTGCAATACTATTTCTAAATTACCTTAGATGATATTGCTTTGCATTTTTGTAACTTTGAATCAGATAGAACTAATTCAAATAGAAGTAGATCAAAAAGACGAGAGAGATCAAATAGCAGGGACAGGTCTATCATATAATGTTTCAAGTGTCATACCAAAGGATATATGGCAGCATACTCCACTTCAAATCAGGAAAAATAGCAA